TCCCTCTTGAAAGCTTGTAAGCCAGTCACTTCTTGCCTTTGTAGTCCCCCACCTCCCCATTTGGGTATCCAATGTCCAAGTTGCCCATCTCTGTCTACTCTGTGTGTGGAGGGAATGTTTCTTGCTATAAGGATTTGTTACTTCTTTTGAGTCACTGCATCCATAGGTGTAGGTCAAGTTCATCAAATTGTATCAGATCATTCTTTTTTTTTCCTCTTCTTTCTTCTCCTGGTTGAGCTCTGATCATCTAGTCATCCGATCCAGGTCACATGGGTACCATCTGCAAGTGTGGGCGTTCTTGTGCACATGCCCTCTCTTCCCAACAGCCGGTAGCTCCACTCTCCACTCGAGTCCTCCGTGGCCATGCCACTGACTCTGGGCCCAAGAGTCCCCAGGTCTCCTTACACTGCTTGCCAATCAGGTCCCCAACTGGGTCCACAGAAGCCCACCGAACATTGTAGGGCTTAGCTTGCTGCTTCATTGCTGCTTTTACCCCACTTTCCCCTATCGGTGATGCGTGTGGTCACCAATCAGAGCGTGTATTTCCATTGAGTCTTAGTCTTGGGAGGGGTCAATAAATACTTTAATTTGGCAAATTACTGTATATTTAATTTAAGGGATGAAGAATTAAATGTAAGGAATAAAGGGAAGACTCAGAACCTGTGAAACTACAGATCATCAGGAAGCAGCTTGTCCCTCTTCTTAAAGGATTGTTGACCTTTCCTGTAATAATTAAGGGTCTCATTTTTTATGAAACATCTGTCAGGATAAAGATATAACTGAACATAAACCAAGAATTTTGGTGAGAATAGGGAAATACACCTATGCAAATTGGCATAGGTATATTCCCATATTCTTATTATTAATTTCTTAGAAATACCCTCCCAGGCTTTTCAGCATGGCTGTGCATGGGCATTGTTAGGTTTGATTTCTTGGTAATGTCCTGGTTAAATAATTACACATATTTGTAATTTTGGGGGTTCAGACTCAGCTATATTTCCTTATGTCCCCCTTTCTTTTTGTAATTTTTTTTCCAGTCAAGTTACGCCTTGAACCACACAAATAGAAAACTAACATTGGAACCTAAAATAGCTGTCAATGCCAAGATTGTTGTGGTTGGAGCATCCAATGTTGGAATTTCCTTCCTAGAGACCTTGGTGTTTTGGTGAGTTGATTTTACTTAACATGAGAAGGATAAAGGGGTCTTTCTCTTTCTAGGAAGCTCTGGTGACATAGTGAGTTCATCAGCAATTCAAACCCATCAACCACTCCCCAGAAGAAAGATGAGACTGCCTGTTCTCATAGAGATTTTGTTGTTGTTAAGTGCTGAGCTTTTATAAATCTTTGCCTCATATTTCCCCCACCGGATGACTGGCGGGCTCGAACCACAGACCCTATGGTTTTCAGTCCAGTACTTACCGTATGGAGTCACCCACTCTGTTCCATAGGGGTTCCAAGGCTGAAAACCCTATGGAGCAGTTCTCTGGCCTATGAAGTCATTATGAGCTGGAATTGAATGGACAGCAGCAGGTTCAGTTGTTTGGGTTTCTCTTTCTACACTGTTAACGTTGACACCTCAAGAGAATAGACCCGAGTTTGTTTGCCACCCCTACACACCTTGCCTATGTGGCTTAATAAACTAATAGAATATTCTAGAGCAAAGGATGGCACACTACAGACCCCAAGCCAAATCTGACTTGCCACTTGTTTTGTAAATAAAGTTTTACTGGACACAGCCATATTCATATTCATTAATGTATGCACTGTCTATGGCTTTTTTTTTTTTTTTTTTTTTCAGGAGTCCTGGTGTGGCGCTATAGGATAAGCACTGGAATGCTAACCACAGGGTTGGTGGTTTAAACTCACTTCCTGCTCCTTGGAAATATGATTGCTATGAGTCAGAACCAATGTGAAGACACTTAGCAACAACAACATGGCTATTTTTAAGGAGCCCTGGTGGTGCTATAGGATAAGCAATGTACTGCTAACTACAAGACCAGCAGTTCAAGCCCATCAGCTGCTCCTCAGAAATCCTATAGCAGGTAGCTATGAGTTGGAACCAACTTGATGGCACTAAACAATTTCTATACTAATGTTTTCCTTACTAGTCAAATTGTAAGAATCATTTGGAACATTTGCTTAAAATGCATGTTCCCAGACATCTTGTTGTTGTTTAGTGCCTTTGAGTAGATTCCAGCTCATAGCTACCCTGTATAGGGTTTCCGAGGAGCAGTTGGTGTGTTTGAACTGCTGACCTTGAAGTTAGCAGTCCAGTGCTTATCCTACTGCACAACAATTTGTTTAATTATTTATAACATACCCTAATGAGAAATAAATGTTGTTATTGAAGTTAGCAACTGAACTCACATGCTTTAAATATTGTGGTCAGTTTACAATAGTTTATTGCAAGGAATCAGACATCTTGTTAAAGATTTTTATATTCTACAGACATATAGAATCAGGAAATCTATTAAGATTACGCTGTTGGAAAAAAAAAAGTCATAACCTTCTGTGCTGACCTCTCTGCCTTGAGTGTTATTGGTCCAACAGATCCCTCAGAAATCATTGTTTTGATGGGATCTTTTATTATGAAGACAGCCTAATAAGACTAAGAAAAATGTATTACCTAGAGAACATGTCTACAGCCATCCACTGATCACAGAGATGTGTTTAAGCATGATTTGTTTATAAGAAACCCATGTGTATAGTAACTGAAACTTAGTAGCAATATTTTTCACTTACATTCATATATACACACCTAGTCCTGATGTGGCACTGTGGGATAAAGCACTGCACTGCAAGGTAGGTTTGAACCTCAAGGTTGGTGGTTCAAACTCACTAGCCACTCCTTGGAAACCCTATACAGGGCCACTATGAGTCAGAACCAACTCAACAGCACTTAACAACAGCAACACATACAAGCTTACTACATACCTATGTACCTGAACATATATATTTTTTATTGTTTTTGCTGTTTTTTCAAAATTATATATACCATGTTGTTGTTGTTAAGGGCCCTTGAACTTATTCTGCTTCATATAAGCATTAAGTCTTATCTTTCTCCAGTGGAGTAGCTGATGGACTTGAAACACAGACTTTGTGTTTGCAGTCCGAACTGTATATGCCACTGTTCTTGTTGGTAAGTAACATCGAGTCACTTCAGCCTTACAGAGAGCCTGTATACAGTTTCCAGGAGTCCTGGTGTGGCACTGTGTACTAATACGCAGGACTGCAAAGTCAGTTTGAATTACTAGGTCGGTAGTTCAAGCTCACCAGTCGCTCCTTGTAAACTCTATACAGAGTTGCTATCGTCAGAACCAACTCGATGGCACTTAACAACAACAATACAGTTTCCAAGGCTGTAAATCTTTGTGGGAGCAGAAAGCCTCATATTTCATCCAGGGAGCAGCTGGTTGGATCAATCCTCTGACCTTATGTTTTGCAGTCCCGTGCTTTAACTGCAGAGCCACTGCACCACCGTAGCAGTTACCAAAATGTCCTTATATCTTGTGTACACTTGAGTGACATTGTTTACCTTCATTCTTTTTTTTTTTTTTCCAAGTCTCACAGATATTTAAAATGATTCTGCCTTTGTGTGATCATTGTTTTGTATGTGCTGTCATGTTATTCATAGTGACTTCATGTGGCAAAATAGAAGATAGATATGTCATACACGGTTTTCTTGGCTATAATCTTTACAGAAGCATATCACCATGTTTTCCTCCTTTGAATGGAGCCCTGCTGTGGCATGTAGGATAAGCGTGGATCATAAACTTGGTTTGAACTGAAATATCAGCAGTTCAAACTCACCAGCCACTCCTTGGAAACCCTATACAGGGCTGCTATGAGTTGGAACCCACTCGATGGCACTTAACAACAACAACAATAAGCCTCTGGGTGGATTCTAATCACCAACTTTATGGTTAGCAGCTGAGCGCTTAACTCTTGCACCACTAGGGCTCCTTTAGGGACTTAAATTGGAAGAGTCCATTTTTTTTTCTGAATATTTTGCTCAGGATCACATAAGAGACTTTAGTCACCATTCAAAATTACAGGAGGTAAGAGGTAAGCAGGAGATGAGAAAAAAGCCCCACAATAACTGCTCTGGATGCCAACAAAGTTGTCAGCTTGAAAAGATGGAGTGGAGCTCTTTGAGGAATTGGACAAAGAAAGGGAATGGAGGAAATGACCCCCAGAAGGTATTTGTGTCTGGTTAGCATATGGTAACAAGCTAACCCCCAAATCGTCATTTTCCTCATTTGACATCACTTCAGTCAGATAAAGAAAGGAACTGAATTTTCCACTTTCTAACCAATTTGCTCAATTATTTATTCACAGCATACCCCAAGTTAATGAGAAATAAATGGCATGTTACTACTGAAGTTAGCAACCAAGCTCACTCGCTTTAAATATTGCGATCAATTTACAGTAGTTCATTGCAAGAATGTAGTAATCAAAAGCACCTAGGAATACCAGTTCATGGTGTATGCCGTCTAAGACTTCTAAATGACAAGTTTTATGTAACAGTTTTTAAATGATACATTATCAGGGTACAGTTGTGAACCCATGGAAGTCAAAGAGTTGTCATGACCACGTCGTAAATCTCAATTTAACTGTGCACTTAGTCACTATGCTTTGTTTGACATCATTACATTAAGATATATACATGTAATTTTCTTTTTGTGGAATCAACTTAGATTTAATAAAGGCAAGTATAAATTTTGATGTAAGTGCTCGATTGTTTAAATTCCACAATAGAGAAAGATTTTTAAAGGATTACAAAGTATCCATGGTGCTCTATCATTGTTACACAGATTCAGTAAACTAATCATTGACTGGTATCAGTTTATGAACTTGTAATCCTTAAGAGAGGAAATTGTTGTCTCATTATTTTCTCTAATTATTTTTAAATAGCCATCACCATAGTAACCCACTACATAATTTACTTTACCATTTTAAGGGCCATTTGAGCTAAAATTTATAAATGATTTGAGCTCAAATGAAATTGAAGAAATACAATTTTCACCAGCACTGACCACCAATAAGAATTAAATCCACATTTTGGAGGCAAGATTCAGAAAAAGCAGCATTCTTATGCTCTTTTGCTCTATTATCAGACTCAGCAAGGGCACTGTAGTTCCTGGAAAATCCATTTAAGGCCCAGTATACTAACCTTTTTTCTAGAAATTCTGGCAATCCTGTCATCTTGTGACACTACAGACACAACTCTTTGCCCTTGAATTATTTATATTTATATACAGAAATCACAAAGTGCATTTGATCTTCTCGTCAGAGAACACCACAAGCAGCCTCTGCGTTTTCAGACAGTATATCCTATCCCCAAACCCTGACGTGCTACTAGGATAGTAGGTCACATGATTTGCCCAAAGTTGTCTACCAGTACACCAGGATGCACATACCAGTAAGGGATTTTGCAAGGGGGGTGGGGCTGAGGAGTTGTCTGGAGGAGCTCTGGTAGCGTAGTGGTTACGAATCGGGCTGTGAGCCACAAGGTCAGCAGTTCGAAACTACCAGCTATTCCGTGGGAGAAAGATGAGGCTTTCTGCTCCCGTCAAGATTTACAGCCTCGGAAACCCTGTATAGGGTCGCTATGAGTCAGAACCGACTCCACAGCACATAACAACAACAACAGTGTAACATTATATCTGATCCTCAACTGCTGCTTATTCAGTGACCCCTGTATAGACATACTTTCTTCTCTTTGGTTCTCGGCCTTCTGCTGGTCTTCTCAAGGGCAGAATTTCTCAGGCCTCCAGTGCCTGGTGATCTGTGTGATAGGCGTTTCATGGGGACATGTACCAGCATCCCTTACAGTTCTCCCTGCCCTCCTGGTCTAGGCAGCTGCCCCAGTCTTACAGCTGTGGCTGTCAGCAGTCTCTGTTACCCTCCCCAAGGTCTCAGACTGGTTCTGGGTAATTTGAGGTGAAGGCAGGGAAAACACTCAGCTAATATTCTCACCCCAAATCTGGTGCATTTGTCTTCTAAGGAAATTATGCCAATGCAGCTCTAAGGAGAGCCAAAAAGGGAGTCTGTTCTCACCCCACACCCTTTGGCCATGGTAGACTCTACCCCATAGGAGTCCTGACCTTCTTGACCCATCCATCATTACTGCATCACCTGCCCCAGTAGGGTGTGCGGGCCTCC